TTGTCCCGAGGGTGTCGGGATTGTGGAGCAATCTACAACAGGGAGCTTCTTCCAGTACTACTAACCTTACTCAGCCGAAAAATCGTAATAACAAAATTTCTTTATATATACTGCCTTGGCCAGAAGTATTGAGCACCCCGAAAATATTTCACGTACGCTATAATGATAGACGAAAAGAAAAACTAATGGTTATACAAATATTTGTAGGTATCAAAACCGGTTTGTAAATAATTTCTTATCTCCTTACTTTCGTTAAAACACGTAGTTTTTTGGAGACTAGTCAGTTTTACCTTTTTAGTGCGTGTTCATCAGTTTGATGCTATCGCTCATTGTGAACAGTCAAGTGATTTAGTGCAATATTGATGATTTTATTTCGAGAATCTGAGTTCAACTCTTGTAATATGGCAAAAACGAATGAACTGAGCATTGAAAAACGTGCGAAAATACAGGTTCTCCATGAACAAGGGAAGTCCCAAGTAGACATTGCAAAAACAGTGAAGTGCTCGCGTCGATGTGTGCAATACACTATCCAGCGATTCTCTCAGACCAGTTCACATAAAGATAGGCCTAGATCTGGCCGCAAACGGATCACTACAGATCGCGAAGACCGAATATTGACGAGAGAATCTTAAAATCGGAAAAAAACTTCTTTGGTCCTCGCTGCCGAACTATCAGAGCAAATTAATAGACCGATTTCTACTCGAACTGTTCGCCGAAGGCTTCAAGAAGTTGGTCTAAATGGCCGCAAGGCTAGAAAGAAGCCATGAGTTATATCAGCCGTTCCTGCTGATATGATAGGAATACTGCCGACGATGCTACTAATTTCCTAGAAGACCTAGAGTTTACTTTATTGTTCTCAACACATTTTACAGTCAGTCAGATTTAAGCCTTTGTACTGTTAACATCATAATAACATTGTAATAATTTTGTAAAAGTACAGTTTTGAGTTTTGTATTTTCGAAAAATAAACTTTTTAAAAAGCGATCTCGAAGCATCGATCTTATAACTGGCGCAGTCAATCCAGTAGGATCAGAAATACGCGACCCGGGAAAGACTTTCGCAAACCGTCGCGACGGGACTTTTCGGGACTCTATCCGGCCTTTTTGGACTTGGTGGCATTCGTGTAGTGGCAGTGAGCACTGGAGTGGATTCATATTTTTGGATACCCAATCCATCGAGGAACCGGCGTGAACAGCTACATACGAAGGGCATCGGAATTTGGGACCACATTGCCCAAGTTCGCAAGGATTCCAGCCTGGGGAAGACAACATTGCAGAACCAGCTAGGATCTTTATAGGAGTAAGAGATGCTAAAGATCGCTTTCTTAGTGTTGTAAGTGCAGTTTATTTTTTTCCATTTATCGCTCAAATTTCAATGAGTATTGATATATCGCAAGCCCTTGAGAATTTGGACCTTAATACTGACTCTCCAAATACTCGACGGTACTCTAATATACTACGTGAGCCCATACTTTCACAAGTCCCTGTACATTCAATACCTACAAGTATTACTACAACTATGGCTACTTTTAGGCCCGAATACTTAAGTTGTGTGCCCGAATTTGACGGCAACAGTAACGATCTCAATCGATTTTTGCGTGTAAGCAAATCCTTGATTGACAATTTTTATGATCATTCCAATCCAAACAATTTTCAAAATACATTTTTATTGAACTCCATTCTTTCAAAGCTGAGAGGACATGCCAAATCTTTAATAAACATTCATTCAGTGAACACCTGGAGTGAACTCGAAACTTTATTAGTTACTAGTTTTTCTGACCAACGTGATGAAGTGTGCTTACATAGAGACCTTTGCTTACTAAAGCAATATCAAAATGAGAGCCCTCAAAAATTTCACGAAAGATGTTTGCATATTTTAAACAATCTGTGTAGCTACGTTAATATCCACGAAGCTACCGAAAGTGGTAAAGCAATAAAACGCGATTTGTATCAAAAACTTGCGTTAAAGACTTTCCTTTCAGGCTTGAAAGAACCATTGGGCACCACTGTCAGGTGCATGAAACCAACCTCCTTGAGCGAAGCTCTTCAATTAGTGATTGAAGAACAAAATGTGCATTATTTCCAAAACGTTTCATATAGAGTTAAGACAGATTCACAGAATTTTACAAATTTTCAAAATTCGCAGTTCAGACCTGCACGCCCAGTTAATATGCCTTATCAAAATTTTAATTCTCGTACGCCTAATAGCTTTTTCCGTGCGCAATTCCCATCTCAACCCATCCAAATTCAACCTAGGCCAAACTTAAATCAGCGTTTCCCGACTAACGCTGAAGTCTTTGGCAACCAACAAACAAAGAATCCGAATACAAACGTTTTTAAGCCCAATTCTTCAAATCCAAGAAATCTTCCAAGGCCGACACCGATGAGTGTCAGCACAAGAAACACAATACGTCCACCATTCGCTCCAATTCCGGCGAACACACCTCGACCTCAGCAAAATTTTATCTTTGAGGAACTGTATAACACCGAGTTAAATGATAACGCAACATATGAAACTTATGATACAGGCAATTTTGCTACTAACGTCGAAAATAATTACGATGAATTCTATGATGACCCCAACCAAAATATTTGTCAATACGATCATTACAATACCGATCAAAATAATGAACTTGACATGCCCAACCCAACCTCGACGTCAGGAAATGGAAATTTTCCCCCAGCCAGCCAGGTTATTCAACCGACATAAACAGTGAAATTATATCGTTCAATGCTAGCAACACAAAAGGATTGAGCTATATAGTTTTTCCCGAATATGACATAAAACTTTGATTGACTGCGGGTCTACTAGGTCATTTATAGATCCAGACATCGCATTCAAATATTTTCCACAACAAATCAAAAATGAACCATTCATTGTTTCGACTGTATTTCAGAAATCCGCCCATAAATTCAGTACTTTAATACCAGCATCCAAAATTTTCAATTTGCCTCATCTAAAGGAATTAAAATTTTACTTGTTCAAGTTTCATGATTTTTTCAATGGTTTGATCGGTATGGATAACTTAGAAGAATTACAGGCAAGACTCTTATTTCAAGAAGGGTTTCTTGTGACACCGTATGCAAATATCAAGTTGCTTTATCAAAAACCTAAGAATAATTTGAATTTTGTTACCATCGAACCTCGCACTGAGCTTGTCATAAAAGTTAAAACATCCATAAGCGATGGCGAAATTATTATACCCCACCAAAAAATCCATAATTGTGAAATACCGGAATGCTTGACTATTGCGAAAGATAGTTATGCTTTGACGACCTTACTGAACAATACGACAGATACCGTTACACTCGACTTTTCTGAACCCCTTTCTGTTGAACCATTTTACCAGTCTATACATCCGACGATATGTCAAGAATTTGATCTTAATAATATCAACGATTCTCCAGAAAATACACTAGACTATTCCAAAATTAGAGTAGACCACCTAAATTCAGAAGAACAGTCCGCAATCCTCAAACTTTGCAAAGAATTTTCGGATATATTTTATCGTGAAGGCGAACCACTAACTTTCACAAACAAGATAAAACATCAGATTCGAACTACTGATGAGATCCCAATTTATTCCAAGACCTACCGGTACCCCTTTGTTCACCGACAAGAAGTAAATGACCAAATCCAAAAAATGTTGAAATCGAACATTATTAGGCAAAGTAATTCGCCATATTGCTCGCCCATTTGGGTTGTGGCTAAGAAGATGGATGCCTCTGGCAAACAGAAATGGCGCGTCGTAATAGACTATCGTAATCTTAACGATAAGACTATTGATGACAAATATCCACTTCCCAATATAAACGACCTACTGGACAAACTAGGAAGATGCCACTATTTCAGTACGTTGGATCTTGCTAGTGGTTTTCACCAAATAGAAATGGATGAGAAAGACATTGAAAAAACAGCATTTAACACCGAAAATGGCCATTGGGAATTTTTGAGAATGCCGTTTGGTCTTAAAAATTCACCAGCCACATTCCAACGAGTGATGGATAACATCCTCCGAGGAATTCAAAACGAAAAATGTCTCGTTTACCTCGATGACATTATCGTATTTTCGACGTCTCTTCAAGAGCATTTAGAAAGGCTACGATCTGTCTTTACCCGACTACGCGAATCTAACTTTAAAATTCAGTTAGATAAATCCGAGTTTCTAAGAAAAGAGGTTGCATACCTCGGACATATAGTAACTCCTGAAGGCGTGAAACCTAACCCCGACAAAATCTCAGCAATACAAAATTTCCCTATACCAAAAACTAATAGGCAAATAAAAAGCTTTTTAGGACTCTTAGGCTATTATCGGCGATTTATTCCAAATTTCGCTCAACTCACGAAACCTCTCACTAAGTGCCTCAAAAAAGGCGCAAAAATTGTTCACGACGACGAATTTGTTACATGTTTCGAAAACTGTAAGACATTACTTACCAACGACCCAATACTTCAGTACCCAGACTTCACAAGGCCGTTCAATTTGACAACTGACGCAAGCAATGTAGCTTTAGGGGCAGTTCTTAGTCAGGGTCCAATCGGTAGTGATTTGCCTGTAGCTTATGCGTCACGAACCTTAAATGATTCGGAAAGAAATTACAGCACTACTGAAAAAGAGTTGTTAGCTATAGTGTGGGCTACCAAATATTTCAGACCTTACCTCTATGGGCAGACCTTCAATATTATAACAGATCATAAACCCCTCCAGTACCTTTATTCATTAAAGGAAGGCGTCTCCTCAAAATTAATGAGATGGAAAATGAAACTTGACGAATATAATTTCAAAATCATCTATAAAAAAGGCAAACTCAATACAAATGCTGACGCTCTTTCTAGAATCGAAATTCATACTAAGGAAACTAACGATTTTTGGGAACAACTCGATGACTTCCTTGGAGAAGCCTCCAACTATCAGAATCAAAGAATTACCTTTGTAGATCAAAATTTAAACACACCTCCCACGACACAAGCTAATCCAAATTCACCACTGATAATTCAAGATATTAGCTACCCCAATTTAAACCCTGAACTAGACGATATCTCAATGATTGTCAACTTGGACAATGAAACAGATCAACCTGACTGTCAGGAACTTCCTACCGTTGACAATACAAATACTGACAAAGATATAATCAATGAAACTGAACAAACTGACTACCACGAACTTCCTTTTGTTATTGACAAAACCAATACTAATGAAGACGAACTTGACAAGGATGATGAAACCCGGCACTCTAATAATCAACACCCGGTTGTTACAATTCCTATATCAGACCAACCATTGAACTTTGGCCAAAATCAGATCGTAATTAAAACGGTCCTGCACTCTCCCGCCAAGCCGAAAATCATAATTTTATTCGAGAGAAAACAGCGGCTATTAGTGCAAATTTCAAAGAACAACCTTGAATCAGATGTTGTAAATTTTGTCAAGGAATATATTGTACCCGATGTCCCATACTATATATATTTCGAAGATCCTGACATATACGAACCCTTCTCAGGCGCTTTACAAAAGTATTTTAAATGGCCCTCTATCAAGTTTAAAAGGTGTCTTGAAAAACTTCTAGACATCACTAGTAATGATGAAATTAAAAGTTTAATACAAAATTATCATGAAGGGAAATCAAATCATCGCGGGATCGATGAAACCTATTCTCGCTTAAAACAAAAGTACTATTGGCCAAATTTGAAAAGTTCCGTTCAGTCATACATAAATGACTGCGAAATCTGTCAACAAGCCAAATACGAGAGACACCCTGTTAAAGCGCAAATGAATATCACTCCCACTGCTGTGAAGCCATTTGAAATAATTCACATGGACACATACACATTTGAAAAATCTAAATTTTTGACCATTATCGATAGTTTTTCAAAGTACGCTCAAGCTTACCATCTCAATTCAATGACGGGTACCGAAGTAGCTGACAACCTTATCCGATACTTTTCCCATCATGGAATCCCGACACAAGTTATTACTGACAATGGCACCGAGTTTAAAAACTCAGTCATATCCGAGTTATTAGGTTTACATGGAATCGAAATACATTTCTGTTCCCCGAACCATCCCCAGTCAAATGGCGTAGTCGAAAGATTTCATTCGACAATATCTGAGCAACTCCGAATTTTAAACACTCAAGGCTTTCAAAAAACATCTGTCCAAATGAAAATGATATACGCAATCTTAGCATACAACAACTCTGTTCATTCTGTGACTAAATTAAAACCCATCGATGTCATAAATGGTCATCTCAGTGAAAAAGATACATTTGACATCAGCTTAGACCAAATTTTGTTGAATGATTATGTAGAACAACACAAAGCACGCAGTAAGCTATTATATACCAAAATCAACGAGGCGCTTGTTCAAAATAAAGAAAAAGTAATTGAAAAGGCAAACATAGGTCGAGATAGTGCAAAAATATTTCAACCAGGTCAGAAAGCATTCGTTAAGAAAAACATACGTCAGAAAAATGCAAATAAATTCCAAAAATCATGTACACTAACATCAGTCGATCCTGGTAAAAAGACCGCTACTACTGATAAACACAATAAAGTACATATCGATAATTTGAAGCGTCCCCTTCGCAAACCATATTCATTTAGCAACTAAATGTTTCTCTCCAAGTACGACATACATACATGTAGGTATTATTCATTTGCAGATTCCTGCAAGTAACGGTTGGACTTCAGGATAGCATAACTATACGTAACCTCGACAACAATCCAGGACTAATTCCCGTGGAAATTGGTGAAGCAAAAGTGAAAGACCATGACTTTTCACTCATTCATTATTATGATATGAATCCCATCATTTCTGAAATTGAAAAATTATCAATTTCCTCCTCACGTATAGCAGAAATCATTTCTTCAAATTTAAATGTCACTACATATTTGTCCAATTATTTCAGAACATTAAAATTTGTTCAGCGACAGGTAGAACAAAAGTTACATAATATATTTCCCCATACAAAGAGAGGAAAAAGAGGCATATTAAATGGCATTGGGTCGATATTCAAATCAATAACTGGAAACCTTGACGCCAATGATGGCGAACGTTTCGAAAATCTAATTCAAGAGCTTCAAAATAATCAAAGAGAATTGACTAACAGTGTCACACAGAATAATGCACTGTCAGTATCTCTTATTGATAAGTTCAATAAAACTGTTCAGCAAATCTGTCATAATGAACAATTGCTGAATAATAAAATTAATACCATATATGCAATTGTTCATCGTACTACAATCGATTCAGATCAGCATAAATTCATAGTAGACACAGTATCTCAAATTATGAACAGCTACGAAGTAACTCTGTCAATATTACAAGACGTTGAAAATTCAATAATTTTTGCACGTCTTGGAACAATTCACTCTAGCATTATTACAACCGAAGAAATTTTTGGTGAACTGAAACTATTGAGCTCAAGATTAGGCCAGGAAAAATTTGCGATTCCAGTTTTACTAGATAACATACCAACTTTTGAAAAAATAATCAAAATCTCCAGTTATTCTGTGGGCAACAAAATTACATTCGTTTTATCATTCCCAATCTCGTACCATGAGTCATTTAACTTATATCGTCTCTTTCCAATCCCGATATATTTTGAAGGTCAATTTAAGACTATCATTCCAAAGGAGCCTTATTTGGTAAAAAATGTATTGCACTTTGCACTTTTCGGCGACATTTGTACTGAAATTATTCCTAAAAAGTTTCTCTGCGAGAAGACCATCTTGCGAGACATTAATGGTCCATTACCCTGTGAACTTGAACTATTCAATGGAAGAAACGCCCCTGCATGTGCCCGAACTCCACTGATAATCAATCAGCCAAGTATCGAACGAATCCAACGGACTAATCAATGGGTATTGATCCTGCCACTACCAGAAGTTATCAAAATGGAATGCCACGAAGAAATGCAAATGAAAAGATTGACGGGAACTTACCTACTTTATATTCCTGTCAACTGTCAAGCCGAAATTAATCACCAAATCATTAAAAATGAACCCGAAACGATTGTCGCGGGCCAACCTATAATATTCCCGGATTTAAACCTGGACACTAAAGGCGACATCACAGAAACAAATTTCAGTCTGCATCTAGAAAAAATTAAGCTAGACGAGTTAAGTAAAATCAAGTCAAGCATTATCAACAACAAACCCAACTTCAAAAAACCTACAGAATTTTTATACCCAGTGCCTGGACACTAATAATATACGGATGTATATTACTCTTGGGTGTCTACGCATTCTGGAAAACCATTTTGAAGAGGAGGAAGCTCAGAAGTAGAAGTATTCAACAACCAGAAGTCGAACTTCATCCTATTCAACTTCCTTGAAGAATTCTTCCCCGAAGTTGAATCTCAGGGGGGAGGAGTTATATCAGCCGTTCCTGCTGATATGATAGGAATACTGCCGACGATGCTACTAATTTCCTAGAAGACCTAGAGTTTACTTTATTGTTCTCAACACATTTTACAGTCAGTCAGATTTAAGCCTTTGTACTGTTAACATCATAATAACATTGTAATAATTTTGTAAAAGTACAGTTTTGAGTTTTGTATTTTCGAAAAATAAACTTTTTAAAAAGCGATCTCGAAGCATCGATCTTATAACTCATGGCTCTCAGACAAAAACAAAAAGGCTCGATATAAATGGGCTTTAAAATACAAAAGCTTCACTGAAGAGGATTGGTCAAATATTGTATGGTCAGACGAATCAAACTTTGAGGTACGTTGGTTAATTTGATGCAGTAACGAGGTGTAACAATAATTTTTGAAACAAAATGACAAGAAGAAAATATTCAACTAAGCAACTACTTAATGACATTTCTTCATTTTTCAGATTTTTGGTACACCTGGTGGGACATTTGTTCGTCGTCGAGTAGGAGAAGAATTCAATCAGGAGTGTGAAACATGGTGGCGGTAGCGTAATGGTCTGGGGCTGCATGAGTGCTTCAGGAGTGGGAGAAATGTTCGTGTGTGAGGGTCGCATAGATGCCACAAAGTACATAAACGTACTCGAAAATGCTCTTTTGCCGTCGTTTACTGCACTTTATGGCGATACCAACATGAATGGCGTCAAATTTCAGCAGGACAATGCGCCTTGTACGATCTTTACCTAAAAGAATTTCTGCCGTGATTAAGGCGAAGGGTGGTACCACAAAATATTGATTTTCTTTCAATACTAAGCCATATAAAGCTAGAAAAAATTGTGTGAATTTCTCCCAACTTAATGGTCCCCTAGAATTTAAAGATATCGAGCGTGCTCAATACTTTTGGCCAAGGCTGTATATATATATGATATGTACCTATATATATATATATATATATATATATATATCCTTTAATTTCTTTGGGTAGTAGGCAAAGTATTGCAAAAGTACACTCTTATAACTTAAAATCTCAAGCTTTCGATGAATTTTTTCTTCATCGTCTGGAGTAAGTCGGCGAGATTGTTGCTCAATGATTTGCCATTTAACAATAAAATAATTCCGTCCTAATCGAACCTCATCGGTCCAGTTTTTTTTATTCGTCGACTATGAGGTCCCTTCACTGTTGTTTAAAAAACCATTTTAGCAACAATCTCGCCGACTTACTCCAGACGATGAAGAAAAAATTCTTTGAAAGCTTGAGATTTTAAGTTATAAGAGTATACTTTTGCAATACTTTGCCTTCTACCCAAAGAAATTAAAGGATATCTTCTCCTAACAGTTAAGGCAATTAACTATGGATACTATATATATATATATATATATATATATATATATATATATATATATATATGTATATGTATAGAGGAAGCTTCCTACTTCCATTGTATGGGGAGATAGCGCAACATAATCGCTAGCTGCACTCTGCACTTGAAAAGACTTTAACTGTAAAAAGGCGAATCTTAATGGAATTACCAATGTGGCCAAAAATGTTGCTGGAAATCGCCAGCGGACCAGTCGAGAAAAAAAGTCGCTGAAGCATACGAAAATCACTAAGTCTGGCAACAGTGTTGTTCTGACCAAAGAACTGAGTCACTGAGACTTGGATAGTGATGGGACATTTGATTCATACTGATCGGTGAACGAAAATAACTGGATGACTCACCGCACTGCAAGTGGGGAAAGTGATTTTTCTCAGGTACCAAAAGGAACGGTCAAATACGAATTCCATCTGACTCGCATGGAACATGTGTCGAAATCAGTTTAAGTGTTTTATGGAAATTTTTTATTGATATCGATGAATTTCTAGGATATCCAAAGGTCTGAAAAGTCTTTGAAAAATCTGAAGATCCCCAGTAAAATATATAAACATAACCAACAGTCAAACGAGTGATGAAAAACCTTTCTGAAGCAATTATCGAGAACCATAGGCTCCAGGGGCGCGGGGAAAGCGGAAAATCTCTGACATGTGAGGCAACTTGAAGCTACTGAAATCAGCCTTGTATGGTCTAAACTGTTAAATATTACCAAGCTATTCAATCGCGTTTTCTTTCAGTGAAACCAGTGTTGGACTGGTGCATATTCCAAATTCTTATAACAGAACCAATTTATATATTCATGTTTTTTTGGTACTCATTTTGAAGTAGTTTTTCACATATTGTAGAAACATACAGAACTTGAAGCAACTCGGGCTGGTGGCCGATGATTCATCATAGTAACACGGAAAAGACAAAGAAACGAAAAATATGCTTCACTGACATTACTGCAAGCGACACGACATGAGAGCTGTTTAATGTTGTTTTGGAAACAAATTTAGGATCAACGGTATTAACTAAGGTAGAGTATTTTAAACACAAAAACTGCACTAGATTTAACAGAAGAAAACACTATATCTCTGAACCACAGAAGCAAAGCGAATCTCAGGCTTTCGATTCTATCATCACTAGTGTGATGAAATGACAATTTGTCCCTCCTTGGTTACTTGAAATAGTTACCTATGTGCTTTCTAGTTCATTTCATTAAGCTGCATTCAGCTCTAGGAACTGGTTCTTGAACAAACTACTTTATGCAACAATACCACAAAAAATATATGTACAGAAACAGAGCAGATATTTCAGTCTGTCAGTCGAGATAAAGTGAAAACGATTCAATTCATATTTTTTAAGCGTTCCAATGCATTCCTCTGATTGCAAATGTATTCTCCCATCACTAACATTGTGAGACACTAATTTCAAATGTCAATTCTTCTTCAGTCTATTCTCCTTCTCCAATTTTACTGTAGTCTGTGTGACGTCACTTGTGTTATTTATGAAAAATGGATTTTGCGTATAAAAAGTGCTCCCTGCAAGATCTTTCTTGTGCAGAATTACATATTACACTGTCGTGTATACGTTAAATCTGCACTTACCCCCAAATACGTGGTTATGTTGAGTGTACCATGTACCATCACCGATGGTGCGACTGATTATACACTGAAATCAAAACAAAAAACTGCAACTGCAATTGTATGTATGAATGTTGGAATTTTAAACATTTTCGGACCAGTGGTGTGTCGTTAATGAATTGGAAAGAAGTGTATGGATGTGGTGAAACGCAATACCCAAAAAAATTTTGAGTGAAAAGGCTTTTTCATGTAAAGGTTTGTAAGTGCAAGTTTGCAAATGTATGATAAATTATTAACACACAGTAGCTGATGTGGATTACAATAAACATGGAAAAACCTTAAGCTAAACTGAAAAGAATGGATTTTACTCAGACATCAAGCATTTTTTAAAAATTTTGGCTCAGTTTTAAATAATTTCATAATATTTAATAAACTGAAAACATTTCAATGGCAAGCTGTCACTTCATATTTTACAGAAGTGTTTTGTTTTGAATACTTTGATGCTATTTGCTGCCAAAAATTTGACGGAGATATCTTGAGGCTGATTGGGTATATTTGACGAACTGTTTGGTACTCGTACCCTATTGGTGCAAAATAATGGTTTGTAAGATTGTGAAATCGGCCCTTAGAGTATTTGTTTTGCAAATATTGAAAACGTAAGCTTCATAGGACTTTTGAAAATACGAGTGTGGAACAGGCTATCGGATTGCGCTCTTTATGACGGGTGGTTTTGTTACATACCACAATGCTTCTGGTAGATCTTAATAAGTAAATTAATATTGTTCTTTTTTATATTACCATTGATATTAAATTTATATTGCACTTTATCTATATCTTCGACCTTGTCCAGAATAAAGTCATGTATATAGAGGAGAATACATACTAAGTCCTATCAAATAATTTTATTTTTACAATATAAGGTATGACATATTACAAGGCTTTCAGGTCAGAACTAAAAACTCTATTCGCAAAATGCTAACATGGCGTCCATAAGAAAAAACGAATTTGATATTGAAGACGGAGACAAAACGTCATATTAAAATTATAATAATAATACTTACGTGCTGAGCACAGAGGTGATATATACAAATTTCGGGAACATTTGGTGATTGAAACCCAGTAAATCAATGTCATTAACTCTATTCAATAGGCAAAATTTTAAAATAGTTTCCTTAGAATTCCACATTTTTTGTTTGACGTACCTGTAAAAATGTATCAGAGGTTCAGAAGTTCAGAACGCCTTTTACTCGATTCCATGCTAGGTGCAGATACCCCCTCTCTGCGATTGACACGGCATTATAATTAAACCGCTCCCACACGATGTGGCGAACGCCTTACACAATGTTGTACACATGACCATACGCCACATCGTGTGGGAGAGCGTTGATGGATTGCATGTGTCCAACGTTCGCCACATGGCAGGTTTGGGCTCTTGTCGGTAAAATTTTACCCGCTTCAAAGGACGTTACAACGTTGGAAACATGGTTCGATACGTTCCCACACGAGATGTTATGTGTTTAACGGTTTTAGGTTAGAAGCAGTGGCGGCGAAACGTCCGAGACTAAAAAGTTCATCCCATCATGTAGGAGACGCACTTGCCAATTGTGCGGTGTCGAACGTAGTAAGCAACGTTGTATACAACGTTAGAATCATCGTGTGGGACCCGCATTAGAATAACTTGTAAAGAAAAAAAGTGATAATGTTAAAATGCAATTTATCTTGGAATCTCATCATCTCATGAGATTATTCACTATAAGTTGTGGCTAACAGATAATGCAATAGACGGCTTCCTACGTGATCATTTTTCCTAAAGCCATCTAGCGTTTGATTAAATCGAACTGTAACTATTAATTATTGTATCACAACCCATAACCAGTTTGCTATATAGCTGCCTTTAAAGCGATTGTACAAGTACCGTGCACACATACACACATGCATGTTGTTGTATATTAGAACGTATAATATTTGGAACTCTTTTGGAATGAACGAGGCATACAGGTAAGTCATAAATAATGCAAACGTATGAAATGTGCCGCTGTGTGCGCTCCTAACACGATCTCGAATATGAAACCTTTGTTATTTTCCCTTACGGGCTGTTTACAAACGGGTGTGAAAAGAATATCTCCAAATATGTGTAAGCAATATATTCGTAGCTGAATCTTGTCCAAGACATGATTTGTGTATTAGGGAAATAGGCACAGTTGAGGTAAAATAGTTTAGTCATTCTGACGACGACTTTTGTGGATAATAAGAGACCAGATAAAAAACGGATCAATTTTAGATTTGTCATAAACCGAAAAATACGCCAGTAATTCAAGTTTACCACAAAAAAATATAATAACCAGTTTTATATCTACATACAGTGGGAGGGGCGAAGTTCGGCATATCTACTCTTCCACTTAAACCCTGTTTTTAAGTTTACATTATAATGTGCCTACACCTAAAGATGGCCCATGGCGTCTCACCCTTGCATCTCTCTAGCCCTAGCCACTTGATATAACATAAACAAAGCAGATTCTTTCGATGCCTACAAATAAACTGACCATTATCGTTGATATGTATTACCTCATCATAGGCGGAAGTGTCGGTAAGAGATTCAAAAATTACAACCTG